CAAAATGTACCTGAAATTAAATTTACGCCTAGCAGCTCTGGTCATAGACTGTTTTGCACCTAGGTTTATTTTAGTTAGTTTGTTTTATTACAGAACAAAAAGGTATTTTTAGTTTCAACCAAAAACACGAAACAAAAAAGAACACAATAACGCGCATTTCGAATGAAGGAAACAACCACTTAGTAAAAAAATTTCCTTGTTTTGTAGTCCTGAACATATGTGCTCTAAGAGACTGCGAGACATTACACAATGAACAATGTGATTCAGCGCCGTTCACGCAGACCACATGCAACCGTTACAAGGGTTGACGCAAGAAACATGACTCACACTCTACCTGGAAGTTTTCCAACCCTATCTATTTGTTCACGTATACCTAAGCATTTGTTGCCCGAAACTCTTTTGAACCGCGTTCTAAAACTTTTCCTCAATGCACCAATGTAATGTTTACAAATCCACAGTCCAGCATGCACATATTCGCGGCTTTGAAAAGCGTGCAAACCACGCGCCATATGCGCGAACTTTGAACATGAAGCCTGGCAAAGGCTCTTTTTTTTGCGGTTTAGATACTTCGTTAGAGAACAGCAGACATGACAATTTCATATGAAACACTGAGCGGAACTTACCTATTTCATTGTGTGAAGTTGGAGGATGTCCCCAGTAAGCACACCAATCGGGGTGCTGACTCCTACTGGTTCCTTCTCTCAAACATCGTACAGGAACAGTAGTGTCAAGCGCCACGACATATTCCCCGGATATCCACGCTGGACGACTTGAGTTCATCGACATGTGCATGTAGCTAATATCTGCAATAACATGCCAAAAAAATAGGATAAAAACAAAAGAAACAGACACGAACACGCTTACAAACTGCCAGGAGCGCTCCGCTCTGGAAAAACGAAAACCTCGCGGCATCCAAACAGCAAAGATCGCGGTTTTTCAAACTACCAAAAGCGCGTGAGAGCCGTTAGCGGAGGCGCGTCAATGTAGAAAACCAAAAAACTAACGATATTCAAACCGCAAAGAGCGCACGGCTTCAGAAACACCAAAAGCGCGCGAGAGCGGTGTGTTACGACGGGAGGCGCGTCAAAGAACGGACACAAAGCGAAGAGCGGCGGCAAAGAAGTTCCGTCGCTGCATCTCATTCCCGTTGAACTACTATGCAACAGCAAAAAAATTAATAAAGCTCGCGGCTCTCCTCACGGAAATGCACATAATTGAATAACTCACCTACGATTCGGTGATCCGTTTTAGTATCAGCAGGAGCCAAGACAAACAGCAATGGCATCTCAGTTCTACCAGGACAAACAACGACTCAATGACTCTCTGGAGTAAACTTCTTGGTGAAAAGCGGGAAACCGCGGTACCCATTTCTTGCTCCGAGAACTTTAGTGCGAGATAATTGAGCCTTTTTGCAGCGCACCTATACAGAATTCTCGCGTACTCGATGCCGGACTACATGCCATTTCAAGGTCACTTCATTCGGCTCCTCGGAGGAAAAAAAAATATCAGGGGGACGTTGCTCAATGTTTATGAGGGGAAAAAAAATAACAGGGGAACGTTGCTCAATGTTTATGAGGGATGGTTGCCTTTTTTCGTCTGTGTTTGTTAAATCTAATTATGTCCCTCTTAACTCAGCTATTGTCCCCCTAAGAAACCCCGCCTTTTTTTGGGTGCGCTCCTAAAAAAAAGGTCCCTTTTATCTCGCCCATATCCCTCATAACATAAGAGGGCTTGGGAGTTTCAAGAGGACCCAGTTTTAGAGTGTGGGGATGTTCTGGTTTAAACACAGATGTGGAAGGATCGCACCCCTTAGCGTGTCTCAGTGGTACAGGCAACCTGTCTTTGCCAGGATGCCTTGTATCCTAATGTAAACCGCCTGCTGCAAATCCTGGTTACCATGCCCGTTAGCACCGCTGAAACGGAACGTTCGTTCTCGAGACTGTGAAGACTCAAGTCGCAACTGAGGGCTTCAACGTCCCATTAGCACTTGCTAGGGGTTGGCTTCTGAACATTTACCGGAACATCCAAGTCAGCACCGAAAGTGTTCTCTCGCTTCGTTCTATCGACCGACGGCGGCTTGAATGTCTAGACCCCACGGAATGATAGAAACTGGTACTTTTTTCTGCCCCTTTCTCGTAAAATGACATCGAAGAACGAAAAGAACCCAAAGCATGACCATAGCATGATCATTTCTGAAAAATGTGATTCGTGCAGGAACAATTAGCGTGACGCTTCGTTAGCTCATTGCCGCATCGCGCCTTGTAACTTTTATGTTTAAACTTTAATTATATTCTAAACTTCACTATTCTCTGTCAATATTTTGTAGTTTTTTAGTCATTGGATACCTGAGTGTTCCACAGAGAAGAAAATGCACCGGAATTTTTTGTGGGCCTGTCTGGACTTTTTTATTCAAAGCCCCTTACTACATTTTATGATTGCGTGTTTTCGTTCTTCAGCATTAAATTATTCATCTTTAAAGATTGCCGGAACGAGATCTGGTAAAAAAAAGGTTGAATATTGTCTTCTAAGAAACAGAAAAAAGTAACTAAATTTGTGTTAGTGAAAATTCTTTTCCTCTCTTTTTTTAACTGTTCAATCAAAGAAGAACACCCCCTAAAAACAATTTCTGGCTACGCCACTGATGCTGCGCATGCGAGGTAGGCAGCGGCGTCCTCCTCGTGGAAATGGAAAGATTAGCCTACGAGAACTGCCTAGTTTCGAGCGCCGAGCGATCTGACTTCAACGCCACCCCCGCGCCCGTCGCTACAAAGCTTACTGCTAAAATGGTCTGTAAATACTGCCGTCAGAATGACCGTACATAACAGTTCTAAAGCGATGTATCGTGTCTTTCGGCGGCCTAAATGAACAGTTCTCTTTCGGCTGTTCTCTCTCGACAGCCCAAAAGAGGTGCAGTGTTTGGCTAGTGCCAGAGAAGAATGGCCGGATCGTTGTGCTACAACCAAGGACTAAAGGAGGGAACAAGGTTCGTCTCAACACTCTATTTTCAAGAGTCTATAAGGTAACATTGGCGATCGTCATTTCCTGGACGCGAAGCGTGGCGATAGTTGAGGGGAGGTGGAGTCTGAATCACTTATTATGGAGGAAATTGTCTAACCGAAGTAGGCGAGGTCACTCTAACGGTACGACGTATACGACTGGTAACGATGTCCTAGACGTAGCTTCTTACCGATATTAAACCGGCTGTGACAGTCCATCAGTCCAAAGCACTGATCACGTTAGCCTCGTACTCTCCTCCTCATTAAACATCATTTCAAATTCTGTTGAACCGCAGCGGAAGGCTAGAGTCTTCCGCTGGGTGTCTCGCGCTTGGAGGGCTTGCTCGATGTTTGTGGCCTCCACCACGGATGCCTCGACGGTAGCAGGCGGGTTTAGCAGGCGGCACCGATGATGCTTTCATTTACTCCTCGCATCAGAATCTTGAGCTTCTTTACTTCCGGCGCTTTGGGATCCGCGCGTTTGAAAAGTCAGAGGACGTTTTCGACCATACCGACAATGATTTCATTCGATCCTTGAATTCTGGCCTGGTGTAGTTCTTCGGAGCGTTCCTTACGTTTTTGCCTCGCATAGACATAAGGTAACTGCTTTTCGCACATGACACAGGAGGGGATTGACGTTTGGCAGTTTTCAAACCAGAGCCGGCGGGCCGTCTCATCCAGTGAGAAATCTATGTTGGGGCGCTCTGCTCTGCTGTCCATTAGTTCTGACATGCCGCCTGTTGGCACTACTGTATCCAGTCGACGACGTCTATGTCAACGTCGTCGTTGAAGGGAGTTGGCGTACGAGATGCGATGGGAAGGAACACGGAGAGACATGCAGAAGCAGGGGTCTCCGTCGGTTCGCCTTGGGAAAATATCTCATGGCTCGTCAACTTTTTTCTTAGCTGCTTTACAAATAGACCAAGTTCCGGCTGCTGGCCTTGCTTGGGCTTCGTCTGGCTTCACAAAAACGTTCTCCGGGGCCTAAAATCAACCTGGTTCGTCGGCTCTTTGCAGGCATGCGCGGATGGAGAAAAGAAAGTTACCCCGTACCTCCAACAGAAATGTTGTGGACGGAAAATGATCTACAAGCGTAAACCCCAAAAATGAAGGTTTAATCGGCAAACTTGTCCGAGAAACAAGAGAAAAAACCGACCTCCGGAAAAACAAGAGTGAGTGTTGAAGGCGGCAGAAGATAGCGTCGAGACGTCGGTGTGACACCTGGCAAGTTTGGACTACGCGATTGTGCGAGAGTCTGTCGTCGTCGGAAGAGAGTCGGCAAGGCCTTGCTGCTACATATCTATTACACTTTCTATCTCAGACATTCCACCTAGAATGTTCAAACATCGAACACTCGAACTAGTGACTCGGCAGAGTCGGTCTCCTTACCTATTACACTTGGTATCTCGAGCATTCGAATGGAACGTCGAATCAGTTCGGTTACGAGTAAACGAAAATCTTCCTGAAGTACGGAGAAACGTTTCCTCTCGGCCATGCACGCGGCGACATATGATATATAAATTTCTTTATTCAAAGCGTATAGCCATACGGAGTGTACACCAAGACTAAAGTCCCGAACTTATGCTTTATTGAACGCGAAAACAACTCTCGATTTTTTATTAAAAGAAAAACGTTTCGCCTGAATGCTATGTGTGGTTCTCAAATATATTTTCGTCGTGCTCAGGATTTAATTTCAGAATATTCAAAGTATACACGTGGAAGAGAGACCAGCAGAAACACAAAGCAAAGGATCAAAATCCTCTTTGTTCATCTCAAACAATCCTTGCAACGACGAATGCAGAAACAATTGCCAACAGGATGACTCGAGGAAAAAAATATTTCTTTTTGTCTTTTCGTTTTAGTAGACACGTTCAGAAAACAATGTTCGTATGCGTCATTGAATTTGCGTCAATATTAAAAACAAAAATGTGAAAAACAAACAACCCCTTGCTCTCGGAGCACTATATAAACCCGTACCGAAATATGTATCGGCATAGTCGACATCTACCGTCCAAGATGAAGGCAACTCTCGTAGCCTTTTGCTTCCTCGCTGCAGTAACTTTCTGCATGGGAAACACGTATGGTAAGGCCATGATTTTTCAGCGTTATACTTTGTTTCTTGCGATCTTAAAAATATCTTTGCTCGGAATTAACCTCCTTTATTTTACGCAAACGCATTGCGCTTCAGTGTTTTTTTTTATATGTGGACTTTATACGAGATGCAAGAGACAATGAATTATGTCTTATTACTACGTCAAATCAACTACGACTACTCCTAGTCCGCTGCACTTTGTTATTGCACAATCTGCTTAAAGACAAGAAACTTTTTTTTTTTTTCACAAATGTAAAATATATACAACAAAACAAAACTACTATGTAATACCAGCCGCCTTGTGGGCACTTCTCGTAGTCCATCAGAAAAGACAAAAAATTCGTGAAATAATGTTAGCGCTAATTAGAGATGTTAATCTGCTTTCGGACTTGGAGGGCTTGGTCACTACAGTGATGCTGAGAGCCTGAGATCCTCCACTAACATCGCAAAAACTATATAGAAGCATGACACCTCTCAAATCTTTCAGAATCAAAGAGCCTCCGTTAGTCATCGAACATGTATTTCTTCGCTGAAAAATGCGCATCATAGGGAAGCATTTTGATGCGCAAGGTTAAATTCACTGGCTGTCGACGCTGTAGATCAAAGCAAAACATGACATGTTAAGTCCCTAAATTGATCGAAATATGGTAGTACGCTTGGATCAGAGCTTAGTAATTCCCTTGTCTTTCATTGTTGTAGTTACCTTAAAACAATGTAAGCTAAAGTAGATTAAAAGTTTACAAATGTATGTTTTATTTTAACACCAATTACAATTACGGGTTCAAGCAAACCACTCAAGTGTCAAAAGATATAAAGTTTAGATAACTGCTCTTCAGAATTAAAACTTTTCAGTAGCACCATACAGAGTACTCCATGTAACTTGAGCCAAGGTTGAAAAATATTTTGCGGAATTTTAGGACGACCAAAATGAGCGAATAATTTTGTTAATTGTCTGGAGCAAGTCAGGATATTTTTTTTGTATTTCGCACAATTGATAATTAATGAAGATTAATTAATTATACTGAAAAAGGATTAATATAGAGCAAAAAGGCCCAATGTCAAAGTTGTAGCGCGACCTCAGAAATATCCAACTCAGTGATTTTTATAAAGAAACCTTAACACTTTTTTTATGGGCATCAAAAATAATTTGCGGATTATGAAAAAAAGAATGTGACTTTGCGCATGTGCACCTTGTATTGCAGCGCTCTGCTTATTCGGAGCTCTATACAAATTCGTTTTTTTTTTTTTAATAATTTGGGCACTAATTTCAAGCCCGGAAAAAGGAACCGCTTTAGAGGTTTCTTAATAAAAACACTTAATTGGACGTTTCTCAGTGCCCTCTACAACAATGTCATTGAAAATTTTGCTCTAAATTAAATATTTCAACGTTCATTAATTAACCTGAAGTAATGAGTTAATAGGGCAAAGCACAAACATAGCCTGAGTTGCTCCAAACAAATAATGGACTTATTCGTTTGGTTTCGCCTTTCTGAAATGTACCAAAATTTTCTTAAACCTTGCCTAACTTTACGTGGAATACTCTGTATATTCCGGTATTCCCATTTTGCTTCCTACTCACACCATAAATAGCCTTGCATAAATCAGATACATTTCATTGGTCTGTTCGTGGGTCACGCATTAGATATTAAACCACCAAAAAAAAACGGCACTAAACAAGAGCTAATATTACTTCGTTTATTACTGTGAAGGTTCCAAAGAATTCAGCAATTTATGACAAATAATAAAAACTGGCATGTAGAAAAAATTATGTGAACGCAGGGTGAATGAATTTATGCTATTATGGTTTCCGGACATTGCAAGTTGCATATTTGTTAAACTATTTTTCGACTAAGAATGTAAGCCGACTGGTTTAATTCACGACATAAGGACGTCATGATAGCTCCCCTAGCATGATATCCTTATGATTGTGGTTGCTCTTTAACCGAGCAACCACAAGTCGCTAGCCTAGGGTTTATTGATAACCAATCTATCAGAACTCGGTCGATGAGAAGATTAGTTATAAAATAATGCGTGTCCATCTCACATATATCTAAGAATATTACTCGGATTTCCAAATTCTAGATTTGATAAATTGAATAAAAAATACGTTTTTTTAACATTTATTATATATTGTGTCTGTGCCTGTGCACTCCCAGGAAGCCCCACGCCCTGCCCGAGTCCGCCCGGTAAGTAAAGTTTAACAAATAATTATTAACACACAAAAAAAATAAAAAACGCTTATGTAGCATTACCCGCCTTGATGGCTCTTCACGACCAACCATCACGAAAGCACGAATTTTGACGCGATACTTAGGCAGGCTGACATTGCTATACTTCAATGTTCGGGGGCTTTGTTGACTACAGTGACACTAGAAGAATGGTATTCTTAAATAACACAAGGAAAGGGTGAAAGAACAAAGCACTAAAATGAACTTCGCCTCCTAAAAACGCTGTTCGTAGCGGAGCGCCGAAATGTTCGTTGAACGCTGCAAATCAGGCTGAAATATTTTAGGTGCAATTCGAAGACAGCAGTACAGTAGAAAATTCAAGAGGGAGAGGAGGGAGAGGAACGCATGATCACGCCCCCCCCCCCCTTCTCTCTCTCCCCCCCCCCCCCCCCCCCCCCAGACCGCCGATGGGCGATTTTTTTATGGAGAGGCGTACGTTATATTGAGTCGGACAAGCCATGAGGATTTTAAAAATATCTATTAGATGTTAAAATATATTTGTTTAATGTTAGCAGCTTTATCAAATACTATGCCTCTTGAAGCGCTATTATCACTGACCTATTAGTAGCTTTGTTTGCACCTTATATGAACCTTCTATATAACCGCACTTACTTCAGTGATGTACTCGAGAGTGCATATTAAATATAAAATTACCTACTGGAAAAAGTGGCAACCCAGGGCGGTATTGAAATTCCTCTACCAGTGTGCTGCTTTCAGTGAATTGAGCGTCTCTACTACTTTAATTTGTCGCTAATATAATACAATATAAAAAAATACTGACTCATAGAAAACATCGTCTGTGATCCGACGTTGAGTGTATAATTGGTATAATGATTGCATATTTTCTGGAGATTGCGAGCAATATATCTATAACTATTTTGGGAATAATTAATCAAACCGAGTACTTAATTTAGCATTTCTTTAAAATATCCGAGACTAGGGCGAGAAAATTATGTAACATCAAAACGTGGAAGATAGTGATAGGAAGACAACGTCTCGAACACAGCTAAAAGGTTTATTTAGTTCTCTCTCCTGTAAACCCCAACTCCCAAGGTCGCCAGCCTCCGCACACAGAGCCTGCACTTCATTAAGGACACAGACACCGTGAAGACCCGCAAAAAAAAAAAAAAAACATTAGGCAACGCATGTATCTTCCTCGACCCTGTGGGAGATACATGTGCATCCTAACGTTTAATTTTCCTAACTTTAATTTTAATTCCGCACTCTCCAGAGACTGGAGTGTGCGGAAGCTGGCGACCTTGAGAGGGGGGGATATAGGAGAGATAACTGAATAAACCTTTTAGCTGTGTTTGAGACGTTGTCTTTTTATCATTTTCCCTTTCTCCTCCAGGTTTTGATGCTACGTAGTTTTCTCATCCCCGTCTTGGGTAATTTAAAGAAATGGCAATGCTACACCAGCCAACCTGCGCTCTCACTGTTATTACTTAATTTACCCTGGGATGACATGTGAACAAGCGACCCCAAGATTGTTTATTATTAAGATAATTATTGCGGTCAATATTTAGCCACATCGCACTGATAAATAATGTTGAAGGGTAATGCAAAACCCATGCCTGCGGATTCCCCTGATCCCAGCAGAGTTTATCGTGTTGACTTCATTAGGTCAAAGAACAGTGAGTCTAAGTTGGTGTCAGAGTTTTGTAGCTGATCTCTTAAAACGCCGCAAATTAATGTAGTACAAAGTCGAGAAAAGCAGAATGTCGGAAATGGCACAATCCAAACCCCGATAAAAGAAGAAATGAAATAATGGGTTTAGGTTATTATGTTTCCTAAACCTAACCAGCTCGCCTACATGCTTTCGTTCCTTGTATCACAAATGATTTCCTTTAAACTCTGATAGTATTCTGTGGCTTAAACCCATGTCGTTGGGGTTAATACCTTCTTAAAATACTATGCATTTCAGTATTTTCGTGCCTCTAATAGCCTATATATATAATCGGTGTAAGAGCGGGTCGCACATTAAATCTTAGACCACAGAGAGAAAAAAGCCAAAACCAAGAGCGGGTGTCAACTTTTTTTATCACGGTGCAGATGCCACTGATTTGAGAGTGCCTACTGCTTTAATGTGTCGGCAATGTTTATCAAATGATAATAATGGCTCGTCAGAAACATTATACGTGACTCCAGGTTCTTGTAAATTACAAATGGTTTCTAGTTATTGCAAAGTACATATTTATCAATAATATATTGGGAATAACAAAGGAAGCCAAGGTTTTAAATAGGTCACTGTGACGAGCAACCCCAAGTTGGGGAATCATTAACAATTTTATTGGAAAGTTCAACGGGACATTCTTATTATTGTTTGCCAATAATCATCTGATTATCGTATTCTTCAATTTTTAGATATATACAAATGAACTTAATATTATACTGCTTAACACACGTACGTTTGTGTTTATTCCAACAGGACAACCTTGCACGTCCGGAGAAGGCCCGCAGGGTGAGTTATGTTGAACAAAAAACTTGTAACAGAAGATAAAAACTTGTATGTAACAACAGCCGTCATGCCAGATATTCATGACCAAGCATCAGAAGGCAGCAGACAGTGACGCCAGGTTTAAAGAGGTTTATGTTATTATGCTTCCGGATTCGGAGGTTTTTTTTCACTACTGTGAAGCTAGAAGAGTGCGATTCTAAACTACATACCGAAAATGTGAAGCATGAGGCAAACATGATCTTCGAGATTGCATATACTGTATTGTAATCCAGCGTAGAATGTTTCGATGAACACTTTAAATTGGGTTGAACAATTTTGAGCTTTCTGTGATACGAAAAGCCCCCACCTGCGCATGCCCCAGATCCAAGAACATACAAATTGTGTCACCAGCGAAAAAGAATGTATACTTTTTAAAGCGCTTGAAACAAATAAGCTATTCTTTGAGATAGTGTTTTCGACCGCGGAGGAATTTAGGGTAACCGTGTAAACAGATAATTAGAAAATTAATTCACTAAGCTTCCTAATGCTCATCTTAGCTGGTGCATTTCAGTAAAAAGAATCGTTGCCCGTCTTGAAAATATGCCGCAACTAACTCCTGCTCGCCACTATGCTTTAGTAAATTTAAGACGTGAGGAGGCGTGAAACCGAAACTAAACGTAACTGAACAGCGGCGTAAGTTCAACCCGGAAGCAACGTCAGTCTGCGAAGTGGTCCTATGTAGCGGGTCATTGAAAGTAGATAATCGCCCCGTCGCTGTAGAAAAAGCGCACCCTGCCCTCCTATTTCCTCGAGCACTCAGCTTTCAGCGCTATCTGCCCCTTAGTTTGGGTATGACGGACCCTAGTGACCGCCTAAGTTCGTCAGAGTACAACGCGAACCAGATTTAAGTAATCATAACTCAACAACAGCTGTAATATATTTTGACAACCGGCAGCCAACTTCAAGTTAAAATGTGTCAGTTCATCTGCCCAAAAGTAATCAGTACATCTTCGGTAATTATGTTTCCGCCATCACTTTACCCTTTATGCCTGGCATCTACCTCGGCAGAGGACGTTATTCTGAAGGAGACAATTGCTTACTTCAGATGCCCTTTTTTAAGCCTTCCTAGTAGGAGAAATACTCTTTATATCTGTATCCTGTTTAACCCATGGCCACTCAAACGCGGAGGTTCGAGTCAAGAAGATTTGTAGCTACTGCGGCTAGTGCGATTATAGTTACCCTTGAAAAATCACGGTACCAAATATTGTAAAATTTGTATATTTTAATATTGATGACGTTAATTTTTACCCCATCAATCAAGTACTGAAAAATATCAGGGTAATGTTAACCGGTCCATAAAATACGCCATTTTGTGCTATTTTCCCCAATCGGGTAAATCTTATTTTCAATATAAGGAGCTTCATTTGCGACACAAAACACTTCTTTTAGAGCGCAGCTCTTAGGGGCCCGTTCCCGGCTTGAGCGGCGTCGCCGTCGGCGTCGGCGTCGCCGTCGCCGTCGCCGTCGGCGTCGGTGTAACCGCAACCCTCGTAACCCTTGTGAGGGTTACGAGGGTTAATCTCATGAGGGTTACCCTCACGAGGATCACGAGGGCCACGAGGGTTACTTACCCTCGTAACCCTCACGAGGGTTACGAGGGTTAGTTACCCTCAAAAGGGTTACCTTCACGAGGGTTACCCTCACGAGGGTTACTTACCCTTGTAACCCTCACGAGGGTTACGAGGGTTAGTAACCCTCGTGAGGGTAACCCTCGTGAAGGTAACCCTTTTGAGGGTTACGAGGGTTAGTAACCCTCGTGAGGGTAACCTTCACGAGGGTTACCCTCACGAGGGTCACGAGGGTTATGAGAGTTACCCTCACGAGGGTTACTCACCCTCGTAACCCTCACGAGAGTTACGAGGGTTAGTTACCCTCACGAGGGTCACGAGGGTTATGAGAGTTACCCTTACGAGGGTCACGAGAGTTACCCTCACGAGGGTCACGAGAGTTGCCCTCACAAGGGTTACTAGGGTTACCCTCACGAGGGTCACGATGGTTACCCAGGTCGTGACCCCCCCTGGGGTCACGTGACCTGGGGATACCCCCCGAGGTCACGTGACCCCCCGTTGACGTCATAGGCACTGATGACGTCGTCAGTGACGTCACTGATGACGTCACCGGCATCCGCATCGTCATCGTCATCATCACTGATGACGTCATTAGTGACGTCACTGATGACGTCACCGGCATCCGCATCGTCATCATCATCACTGATGGCATCATCAGTGACGCTACTGATGACGTCATCGGTATCGTCACGTGGCCCCAGGTCACGTGACCCCCCGACGTCACGTGACGCCCCAAGGTCACGTGACTCCCACAAGGTCACGTGACCCACAAGGTCACGTGACCCCCAAGGTCACGTGACCCCCCGCCCCCCGAGGTCACTTGACCCACCCCCCAGTACCCTTCCCTCCTCCTCCTCAAGAGCTGCGCTCTAATTCGGCGTTACAGGGAGTTGTAAACGGCTTTCATTTTTTAACCACACTTACTTCAGTGGGATACACGGGAGTGTACATGACGTTTGAAATTACCTACCAAAAAGCAGGAACAAAGATCGTCTGTGAAACTCTCGTACCAGTTTGCTTGTGTCCGTGTACTACATCAATATGTCGTCAATATAATATCACATTATAAAAAAATGGCTTATAACAGGCATCACCTGTGACCCGAAGCTGGTTGCATAATTGTTTCGTGGTTTGTAGTCATGTTTATTTATTTATTTATTTCCCCTCGAGGCCTGATTTCTGAGGTATTATAGAGGGGAGTAGATTACATTTCATAACATATTACAACATTGTTCAGTTATTAATATAGACAAATAAGAGGCTCCTAATCATACAATAAGCTCTAAGGCGCTCTTAAAGAGATTGTGGTCTTCGATGGCCGCCGTAGGTGTGGAAAGGCGATTCCACTCATCTGATGTGTGTGGATAAAAGGACTGAAAAAAAAAAAGTTACTTTTGCAGTGTGGAATTCCAGCCTTAAGAGCATTATCCAACCTGAATGAGATATACCAAACAGGTAAACTAAAATCGTGGTACAGATATGGGTGATGAAAGAGCTTGTGAAATAGACATAGTCAAAATAATTTACTGCGAGATGCTTGAGTTGGTAGGTTGAGGCTATATGTCATTGAGCTTATGCTGGCAGTTCTGTTATAGTTAGATAGGATAAAATGAACTGAATTATTTTGAACCATTTCAAGTGAACCTATTAAGTTTTCTTTGTAAGGATCCCACACAGATGAAGCATATACAAGTTTTGAACGGATTAGTGTTTTATATTACAAGCGATTTAAGGACGAATGGGCTTTTGATAAGTTACGTCGGATGTATCAAATTATTCGCTTAGCGTTGTTGATAACATACGAGATATGAGCGGTCCCGGTGAGATCGGCTGTAATGTGAATACCTACGTTTTTGTAAGAAGTGACGGCATCAAGGGTATTTTGATTTAGAAAGTAGGTGGGAAAACTATTAATTTTTCTAGATACGCGCATATATTTGCATTTATTAGCGTTTAGGTTCATCAACCATGCTTTTCACCACTCAGAGATGGTATTAAGGTTCGACTGAAGGTGAATTATATCGTCATCACAAGTTATTTCACAAAAAATTACGCAGTCATCGGCAAACAAGAGAATTTTAGAAGAAACGCAAGAATTAGGTAGATCATTTGTGTAGATAAGGAAAAGGAGAGGACCAAAAGCAGAACCCTGTGGCACACCGGAGTGAACACCAGTTGACTGCGAGTTAGAGTTGTTAGCTGAAACAAACTGTGAACGGTTAAGAAGAAAACATTCAATCCATGCGAGAAGGTTGTGAAATAGGTTCAGTTGGTGTAGTTTATATAGTAAGAGTTTGTGGCATACCCTATCAAATGCTTTAGAGAAGTCTAAAATAATGCAATCGGCAAATGAAGAATGGTCAAGAATCAGGTTTAGTTTATGCGTACATGATACTAATTGAGTTTCACTGGATTAAGTTTTGCGGAAGTCATGGTGTGAAGGTGTGAAAAAGCAGTTTGACTCAAGAAATGTAACGAGATGCGAAAACCGAATGTGCTCAAGAAGTTTACAAGGAATGCTGGTTAACGAAATGGGTCGGTAATTGAAAGGAGAAAACTTGCTGGCTGATTTTTGAAATGGAATCACCTATCCGACCTTCCATTCACCAGGGAGATAACCGTTGTGAAGTGACTGCTGAAAAATCTTCGAAAGTATTATAGAAGAATAGGCACTTTTACTTTTCAGAGACTTGGGATTAATTGAATCGCATCCAGGAGACGAAGATGGTTTAAGTGATCTAATGAGGCTTTCTATACCAATATGTTAAATGAGTATCGGAGACATCACAAGATAGCCAAAGCCACAAGTATCGGGTATCGGGACACCTGAAGTTACAAAAAAGTTGCATGAAAATACTTTATTCAGCACCAATGCACATTGGCGAGAAGGAATAATGCTTCCGGTGCTGTAAACTAAAGTGATCGTATCCTCATGTTTTGCTTGTATAACACGCCAAAATGTTGACAGACATGTCAAGAATGTCCTGTTAATAACCGGAGTGCAAAGTGGCTAAAAATTGGCTTTTTAAAAAGCCAATTGTTACCAACATTGCATTTATTATCATTTTTAGCCATTCATTAAGAACCTTCTCTGTGTGTGTTTGTGTATCCATAGGACCCTCCCAAAACCAACAGCCCTCCCCACAACCCCCAAGTAAGTAAAATTCAATTCATGCCCAGCGATAAACGAAAGCTAAGAGTGATACTAGCCGCCTCGTCGGCTGTTTGTGACCGTGCATCAGAAAGCCAACAATTTGTGAGGCGATATTTGTGCAGAACGATTTAGAGAGGCTCAACTAGTAATCGAAAGTCTAATTTTTAGCATTACATTGGAAATCATACTGAAACATTTCCAGCAATAATGCAAAACCCTGGCCTGCGGATGCCCCAGATTCAAGCAAAGTGCAACGTGTTGACTTCATTGGGCTACAAAAATGTTCAGCAATGTTCGAGTCGGAGCTTTGTAGCTGCCTGATGTCCAGTTGTTAGCTGGACATCAGCTTTCACTCTCGAAGCGCCGCAAAAGAGCGTATAAGTAGATCCAGGAAAATTTCAACTATCCCAAATATTGTGTTATTTTAATGCTGAGACATTCATTTCTTTAAACATATCAATTGAGGGATAACAGACTCTAGGCTAATGTTTACCACTCCCTATAATCAAACACGGTTATCTTTTGCTATTTTTGCTGATGAATAGCTTGCTCTGCGAGCATCGCAGCAGGCATCTTTCATTAAAACACACATTTTTATTGTCGGGTGCACCTTGCACATTAAATCAGCTAAAAACCAACATTTAGAGGGTCTACTATTCTTGAACTAGTGTACACGGTTGCTAATGAACTCAAGGTGCCTAACTTTCAAAAATAATGTAAATGTACAAAAAACTGTATACACGCCAATATTGCCTGTAATTAACCGCATAGTATGGTGAGGTAAGCTATCTGGTCATTTAAAGTTGTGTACCTACTAAAACAAAAATATATTGAAAATAAATATTAAACCTGCTGGTTAATAGACGTTATAACGCGGCCATTTTGGCGATGAACCCAAAGTAAGATGATCATCATCAGGGTAATTGCAAAGTTAACTCGGCCAACTCGCAAATATTTATTGATGTGACTCCGATCATCACATTCTACTTTTTCATAGAAAACTTTTAACAAATAAAATCAAAACAAACGTTCTTTATACTGATTTTCACTCCTATCTGTGTGTTTGCTTTCCCACAGGAGACAACAGCGCGCCCGGCAGAAGTAAGTAAAGCGCACGAGCACTTAAGAAAACCTTCCCTCTGATACTATAGCCATGGACAGAATCAAAAGGGCAGGGAGCAGTCTACAGTGCGAGCTTCCTTTCTTCAATCATAGTTCGGCGTCTCGCGTGCCAATATCATGCAAGCGGAGCGAAAGCACGACGGAAGGCAATCAGGGCGTGCTGGAGGCGCCCTGCCGTTCATACATTGTCAGTGACTGCAGTCGACATGTGGGCTGTGTATGACCGTTCATCAGGCAAAAAAAAAAGGCGTCCTGTTATGTTTATACTAAATGCGTGTGTTTAAAATATAGTTCAAGAGTTTTGAACTATGCCTCTGTTGCGAAACTATTTGGTCACTGTGGTCCCCCTGTCTGGCTTCGATATTTGCCCAGCATTTCACATCTATAAAACGAAATAAAATACTAGCTCGCCCATTCAGTTTCAATGAGAATGCGGAAGTATTCGGACACCTAATTGTTTGGTTTTTACTGAAATCAGGCTCTTTTCTGTTGTATAATAACTCCGGCCTCCGGGTGCTCCAAAGAGATCGCAATATGACATGGCGAGTTCAGTAAGCAATAGGTATATGGCGATACCGTTGTGAGGCATTCTTTTTCACTGTTATCGCTAATTTTGAAACTGAGCATATAAATATAAAATATACTCGCAAAAAGCAATTTAGTCCGTGTTAAGTGTGTGCTATATTTAGTGTTCTGTATTTTCGGATAAATGCGAAAACGATCGGAAAAACACTAGCCAGTAAAGGTTGTGTGAATTAGGATTTATAAAAAAAAAAATCGAGGTCATGAGGGAAAAAAATAGTGTGTTTTACAACTGAATTTTTATAATAGCTGAGGATCAGTGATTCTTGGGAGAGGCCATTTCAGCTTCCGTTCAAATTTTAGATTACTGAAAAAAGACGGTTTGCTTTTCCTCTCATCAAGATTGATTCAGCGCCTCTTAGTCACAACAAATGCAATTGTCTAGACTTCCAGCTTGAACCATAACATCTGTGGCTCTTAGAGGATGGAGTATTTCGAAAGCAGTGAAAGCCAGGAACCCATATCATTCAATGCATGTGAATGGAAGCTTACGACTACGTCCAGGAGTTTAGTTATTTCAAAGTATCAACAGTTGTTGAGGCAGCACTTCATTGCGATAATTGTCGTAGTTAGCTTTCAAACTGGCATGGATGCCACAGTGCCAATTGCCGCTGAAGAAGGACATTTTGATACAAGTAGGCCCTGGTAAATTTAACGTAGATTTGTGGCGGGACAATTACATTTTTATTTGTGTTTAAAAAAATGAGTACATAGTGAAATAATGTTTGCATTTCAGAGATTTACAAATCTAGCAGGAATAAACTTCAATAATTTCGAATGTTCAGCGGAGATTAAACTCTGAGAAACCCCTGAAACATATGCAATTAATTCAGATCGGTACTTGTTGAAGTCGAGGAGATAGTGAGGTAAACCTGAATTGAATAAGCCGTTATAAATGACAGGTTTTCCATCATCTAGAAAAGTGCGGCTGTGCTTGTATAGAGGACCAATGATATTCGCGAGTTTAAGAGTTAAGTTCTGAATATAAGGATCCCATGACATATGTTCGTGAAAAATCACGCCTAAAGATTTAACGGTAGTTACGAATTTAAACTCAGTTCAATATTAATTTTGCTGCGGCATGACACACCGTACCGTTGGATTGGAAACAACTGATTTTGTTTGAATTTCTTTTATTAATAAATAATTTCAGGCAGTTCACCTGTGAAAAATTAAAAAAAAAGATTTAATCAGAAAGCAGCTTATCAATATTACTATTTAAAAACAACTACTATCATGACCGTAAACTACAAATACAGTATTACTTGCAATAGTAAATATGTATTTAATAAACAGGTTAAACGACAATGGTTCTAATAATAGTATTGTTATCTCGGAGCTGGTGATTGATAGAGTTTTATGCATTGTTATCCAGGAGATGGTGAATGATCGCTTCTGAAGCTGGAATGTATGTTGTATAGTTAAGTCAACGTTTCACTTTCAGAGTGACCTGTTGGCGGTGGCCCCCAGAGACCTGCGACGGCGGAAAGAATATTTTCGTGGCGCTCCAAATTCTCTGAATAAAACTCTGCATTATAAAACCCATCTCGCAATGTTATTTATTTTCTCCTTACTACATTTTGTGTATGTAAATCTTCATATTCAATTTTTTTGGTATTATTATTATTACTGTTATTTTGAATTGTGTCACTCTCTCCCGAAACTTAATTTCTGTCACAAATTTACCCGTAAGCGACGCCTGCCGATTGGTCAAATAAGTCAAGCGAAAACATTAACGAATAGGTTAATTATGACTACATCCACCGTTATAGGTATAAAACCGGATTCGTTTAGGTTTTCTGCTTTGGCGGTTGCACAGTGCCAATCACCGGTTTAGCGTTTCCCAAAAACCGGAAAAATACGCTTAAAAAATGAAACACGTTTACAACTCCCTGTAACGCCGAATTAGAGCGCAGCTCCTGAGGAAGAGGAGGGGAAGGTACGGAGGGGACGGTATACCAGTCCTCCTCATCCGTACCTTCTCCTCCTCCCTCCTCATCTACTCCTCCCGTTTTCGTCGCCTCGCCCCCCTCTTCTCCTGCCTCTCCCTCCTCCCCCTCCTCCCTCCCGCGCGGTGCATTATGGGATGTTTCCCATAATGCACCGCGCGGTTACGCGGACGGCGACGCGGACGCGTCACGCCGATGCGTTACGCCGACGCGTTAAGGTTACGGCGACGCCGACGCGTCACGCCGATGCGTTACGCGGACGCGTTACGCCGACGCGTTACGGTTACGGCTACGCCGACGCGTCACGCCGATGCGTTACGCCGACGTATTACGGTTACGCCGACGCGTCACGCCAATACGCTACGCCGACGCGTTACGGTTTTGGCGACGCCGATGCGTCACGCCGACGCCGACGGCGACGGCGACGCCGCTCAAGCCGGAAACGGGCGCCTAAGAGCTGCGCTGTAAAACAATAATAAATATGCGTAAAAACCTGTTGTTGATTATTTTTACACTACATTAGTTTAAAACGAAGTTGTTTGTTATATGTCTGCACAATGGAAATAAATACCGAGCCCGTTAAAAACTTTAGATGAAGAGAAACAAACGCAACATAAAGAGACATTTTTGATTAGCACTCAGCATCCATGGTGTACTCTTTTGCGGAGACGAAGCAAAATGCCACAACAGTTGTTTTATCTTGCACATCACACCTCCATGGTGCCATTACCAATGTCGGGATTATAACCAGACCAGATAGTTTTACATCCTTATGGGTGTGAGACGTTTTAGTGTGGTTATACTCCTCGTTAGTCAAACTAGGCGTGCCTATTGAGTAAGTTTATTTCGAGCACTGTATCCTTCATTATGTCACTATGGGGTCTTGTTACATGGAATCTACTCCAATATTGATGGTTGCACAAAGGGTTTGCTGCAGCTTTAGCGGATATAGTCTTTCCTACTACGGAAAGCGACTAATGCTACTAGGCCTTATACGAAAGAGATGCTATGCATTAATCGAAATGTAAAAAGCAACAGAACGTACCATGCCCAACGAAATAAATTGGACTAGCGGAGCGAGTGGACTCGCGAATATTCAAGTACTTTCATTACGTTAGAGCTTCCTGGATAAACTGAATGTCGGAGCTATACGATTACCTCAAAGTCTAGTGATTGTATATGCTCCCCTTAAACGCTAAAGAAACTATATATGCTCCTAGAGATGAGAATACGCATTCACTTTAGCGAGGTCATGTGCCCTCATAATACATTTCATTTTGTTGAAAAATGTACTCACAATCTCCGTAATTGCCGATGTTTCCGTTACCGAAATAGTGGCTAAATTTTTGGTGTAGGATGTAATGGCAAGGATGGAATACCCCCTAATGGTATTTTAAATTTTACATAGCGTGGGAGTACATACAACTATATTAAATAACAAAATTTAAAACAAGACAGCAAAACAAGAAATGCAAGAACAAAATTTAATGATGTAAAACCAAAATAGAAGTAGCATGCAGATGAGTAGACAAGAAAAAAACTAGATGTTGTTATCGCTACGTGAGTCCATGCAATTTTGTTACATCATATTCGTTGGCTGTCTAAACCGGCGGGTTATTCCGATCAACGATTGGTCGTGGTATGAATGACTCTGCAAAAAGAAATGAGTGTCATGCGATGTGTTTTTATTTATATCTGTGATCGCGACGTACAAGTGACACGTCAACTAGGTGCCTGAAAGAAACCATCGTGGATCGTTGCACAATGATAAAGTTTGTGAAACAGTTTTAGATGAGCAAGGTATTCTTTAGATAGGTTAAGTCTTGCAGGGCGGGAACGATTTTCTAGGCCTTTAAAACTGGAAAAGACAAATAATCTTAAAAGAGAACGAAACGAAAAGCTCGGTTTTGCAGGAACTCAATGTTATTAATGATGTAAGCTTGGTCATAATGCCATATGGCAAAAGAATATTCAGTTTTAGCCGTATTTTTTGGATGTGGACAATTCTTTTTTATATATGCAGGAGTTCGTTTAAGCTTACGCCTGATGATACCAAGTGAACGGTTAGGTGTCCTTGGTATCATTCGACTAAGTGAATAATGTGGTTGTGCCATTTCAAATCAAATCGAAAATTCACACCTATGCACTTATTATATGTAGAGGTGGCTTTGATCACATTGTTATATAGAAAGTATAAATCTAAAAATGGGGTCAAGACAATCAGTAAATGACTTCCTCTTTGCTTTGGGGATGTTTATTGTCATTGGCCTGGATGAACACCATGAGCTTATTGAGATCAAGGCTGATTGAAGAGCTTGGCTGTCAGTGTTATTTTAAATGTTACGATAAATGGCGCAATAACCTGCAAATAGCCAAACTCTCGATGACACGCAAGTGGATAATTCATAAATATAGACCGGAAAAAGAAACGGACCAAGCACGCTCCCCCGGGAAAC